CGGTTTGGAAAATTCCAGACGACCATGAAAGAGCGCGTCGCCACCTTCCGCACAATATGCAACATTCTTTTACACTAATATATTCTTGCGTTTATACGCGTCCTCGTCCCACGCTTTAATTCGCCATAAACGCACGGACATATCCGCCGTCCATAAGAGCGTCCAGGGTGAGTGATCCAGGGTGGTTTACGTTTTCTACGAAGATTCTTTTGAGAAACGCTATATAACCGAGCGTCGGAGGTGCAAGCGCGCGTTTTCTTCGGGCATGTCTAATCCGGAGCACGCAGGGATAACTGGCGTATTCTTTGAGAACGTTTCGGTGTTTGTATCGTTCCGTTAGACGGTCGGCCGCGTGATTCTTCTCGATGGCCAACGACAGCCGCGCGCACGTGCTTTCTGGGTCACGGTACAAGACGACGGACTCGCTATTTCCGCGAGACGACGCGCTATTTTCAGTCGCTCTTCGAATACGTGGGCTCCGGAACGAGTCCTTTTTCCCTGCACGCCGGTGTATATCCACCACCACCACCACCACCACCCCGTCCCCATTGACGAGTGGAAATAAACTCTCCCTCGCGACGCTAACAATGGAAACGGTTTTCATTCAGTCTCTGAATTCCCTGTATCTTAACAGAACCGGGATCGCGAGCCGGGTAAACAGAGAGACGCTCCTCCCAATTAGGCGACGTGAAAGTTCAGGATAACAATCGCGGTTCCTTCGACTGCTTCTTAATTGACTTCTATCGACGATCGTCCGCGTGGAACAATGCCATTGTGAACCCGGCAACAATAACAAACCCGTGCTCGATTTTAATTCTCATTTTTGTCTTCGGTCGATCCTCGGCCGGAGTGTCGCTATTGTGTTCGAAATATGCGCTGGATGGTAACGAGGAGGTGTCGAATTAATCGTTTCAGAATGCCGCGCTGTATACGGGAGCGTTCGTACGAACCGAGAACTTTATGAAATTAATACAGCGTAGCAATTATTCGAGATTCGGTTTGTTTCGGGGTAGCGGTGTTTCGAAAACGCGGAGTTCGAGATACGAACGTGACCTTTGCCTTTTAACGTAGAACTGGACCGAGATCAAACTCAAGTAGAACTCGATTCGACTCGATTCGACTCGATTCGAAACAAAAACGAGTCTCGTCCGCGATTCCCGTCTTCCGACGGATCGATTCATCGTCGGTTCGAGGATAGTTCTCCGGCTGAGAACGAGAGAAGCTCGTTTCCGCCGTTCGTTCCGTTAACTCGCGGGAACGAGAGAAAACACGTGCTCGTCGATGCAACCGCGCTCACTAACGGCGTATCTATTTTAGCGATACGTCGGGCTATTCTCAGTTACGCTCCGAGTGCACGGAGTGCATCGACTGTCATCGGCGCTCTAGGAATAAACCATCCGTCACGTTGAACTAATTCGACGCGCACGTTAGATTTGCCGGCCCGATATTTTTCTTCTTTCTGTCTTCGCCTCGATGCGAGAGATCGCCTCGCGCCGCTACGCGTTTCACGCTCCCGTCACGGCCAGACTTTGATAAATAGTTGGCCGTTGTCCCGTCTTCGGCTACGTAATTAAACGGCAAAATTGAAATATCGATCTTTCGCTGCGACGTCGAGCTTTTTCTACGCCCGGCGAATAGAAGAAAATCGAATGGAAAGCTGTCGCGATGGGAGATCTTGGGAAATTCTGCTCGATGCTGTCTCGAGTTCAATTTTGAAATACTACCGAACGCTATTCGTGATTTCGTACACAGCCAGTCCCATAAATATTCCCTGTATGTCTATCGAAGACACTTGTTTGAATTAAGTAATAGGTTCGATGCTTCCAAATAAATATTCACTATAAATGTATGTATGTAGTATCCGCGCCTCGCATACCCAAGAATAAGGAGTCGAACGACAACGCGAAACGTAGGGTGGTGCGGGTTTGGTTGTGTAGGTAAAGCGGTCGACTGTGGTCCCGAGGTTCGTGGGTTCTCGAATCCCACGTATACGCGAAAAGTTTTTTCGTGTAAATATTTATCAGGGAAGATTTATTCGATAACGTCAAACACAACATTTAATTTATACAAATTTCATTAATAGAGATAAAGGGTACGATAGATAAGGGATACTTACGAGACCGCGACTGTATATCGAATAAATTTTGGTTAAAATCGCGATTACATAAAATATTGATTCATAAAATCGTAAGTCTCGTTCGTAGACTTGCTACGTAGCGCGAATTTTCACGTTTAATATCCATGCAAATGGGTCCATCCAGGTCCCTTCGGAGGTAGGCGGCGTCGTTTAGCCGACGTCGCGACGGAAACCATCATCGGTACGAGTGTCGCTAACGCGAAATACCGTGCACTCTCGGTACGAGAGCACCTTTGAGGTGGAATTTGCGGCAGGCGTGAAAGGTTCACGAACGGGTAGCATCCGGCATCGAGCACCGGCTACCGCTAACCAACAAAGAGCTTTCAGCTCGGAAAATTCGTCTAGCCCGGGCTCTCTTTTGTTCACCGAGCCTTCCACGACGATTCACCAGCCGAGAATCGTTGCGTTTCAGGGGCTAATCTGTCCTTTATCTTTCGCTGGAATCGCTCAGCGACCTTCCAGGAGAAAAGCGAGAAACGTTTGTTCGCGACGCGTTGCTCGACGGCGTCGCGTGACGAGAAACTCGACGCCTTCGGTGACGCCCGACGCCGATAGTATTTGCGACGCGAGTAATTATCGGCGAGTCTATTCGAGAGATGGAATGTTTTTACATCGCCAATTATTAGAAACGCTTTAAATAACGATTATTATATTTGGACGTGTCGTCGGCTTGTTTTCTCTCAACACGTTGACTGCCGCCACGTCACTCGTATGTAGAGTGTGTTAGAATTAACCCTTTGCACTCGAGAGGTGACTACCCCGTCACCGCTAGGTTTTCTTTAGATTTAATTTCTTCGGAACTCGAAGTGTAAATAAAATGATTGTCGTTGAGGCAAAGGTGACCCGACTCTCAAATCTCAAATGAAGGATCTCATTTTCGTAGTTAATCCAAGCTTAGCATTCGTGACAATAGAATGCTAAGAAAGCATCTAGAGTTGCTGATAGATACAAGAAAAAAGGCCTCGAGTGCAAAGGGTTAATGTAAGAACCGGAAATGGGAAGTAGACGAGACGATTCCGAACAACAATTTCCTTCGCAGAAATGTCGTACGGTGCTTCGTTTTTGAATTATTAACGAAAAACCGCGGACCAATCACAGCGCCCGAGTAGCCCGCGCTCAACCATAGATGCTCGGGCCAGCCCCTCGCGCGATTGGTCGGCGGTTTTTCGTTAATAATTCAAAAACGAAGCACGGTACGACATTTTTGCAAAGGATAGTTTGGTTCAGAAACTTTTCAGCTACCAGGTCTTACACTAATTTTAGCACACTCTGTATAGGAATTTTCATTAAGAAATGAAACAATTAAATCTGAAGATCAAGTTTCAAAGAAAACAAGTCTGGCCAGGCTTCGTAAAGTTTGATGGGGTTATAAAAACTTGACGCAAATGTTTAGATTACATAGCTTCCTATTGTACTAAGAACAAAACTCTGGCTTCGTAAAAGTATCTTCACGAGAAGATGCCCGGCACCGATAGTATTAACCGAATTCGAATGCAACTATCGTCGAATCTACCCTGCAGCGAATCCACAGGTACGCAACATTGGGACACGTTGTCCGATCGAGAAACACGAAAGGCAACATTTTGGCGTTGACCCGCCGCGGAATACTCTCGTCGGGGGAAAGCCGAGAATCGACCCAGCGCCCTCTCAGCGCCGCGAAGTGGAGCGTAGAGACTCTCTTTGGCGGCACGTCTCGCTTCCACTTTTCATTTTCTTTCTCACGTCTTGCTACTTTGCTCGCGGAACACCTCGACGCCGCCTCTCCACGATTCTCGCCTTGCTTGGACGAGAACCGGCGGAAAGCGTGGCTCGACGTTTCCCTTCCAAAGCATTCGGAGACCTTTAAAATCTTTCGTTTAGATCGCAACTGTAACGTCCCTGCAACGGTATACGGCGATCTATGACTCGCTCCTCCGTTCCAACCTATCGTCGTAACAGTACCAGCGATCGAAACGAAATCTGATATAGACAGACTCGGAGGAACCGAGTTGAAAGGTTTCCATCGACGATGTCGAAGCTAAAATGTAACCCCTGTACAATCGAACTTCCGAGCAAGTTTTCGATCCAACCAGAGGATCGAGCGATCCGTCGTTCGGAATTCCTGAACGACGATCAAACAATGACGCGTCCGAGACAGGCAGATCGTTGGCGACGCGCCTGATACTCGTCATTTCCATTGCTCATGGAGGTGCGTTAATTACGAACTCGTTTGGCACTCCTGTTTGTCGATCGGCGATCGGTCCCCGAACTTTTTCATCGAAACGGATCCGCAGCTTTCTTCGTCGACGTGAATCACGCAAGTCTTCCGATGGTGTACGTACCAAGCCAGCGAACGACTCGACGATCCGTACGATTCATCGTGAGAATTCCCACTTTACGATCCGTAACCGGTAGGCCGTTCGATCCCCCCTCCCCTCCCGCCGCTCCCCCACTCTCTCGCTATTTCTCACAGCCAATCGCAGTAGAGTCGTTTAGCGGCGTAGCGATTTTCCACTCCGGTAGCCGGACAAATTAACGAAGAAATCCATCGTAGGAACGTTAGCGCCTTCCCTGTTCGCCAACGATTTAGCGATCGAGTAGCACGGTCAGGATTTGATTCTTTGTCGATTCTGTCACTTCACCGATCTGTCAAGCTATCGCAGTTCTACTAGGCTGCCGACCTAGCGGCTTACCGGTCTAGTAGCTCGTTAAGAAAATAGCTTGGTATAGGGCCTGTTAGTACAGAGGTAGCGCAACCTAGTTTTTCGTTTCTACATCCTATATATATATAAGATGTTGTACAGTGTCTCGTGTGTGTGTATATACGTGTACGTATCGACACGGCCGGGAACATTTCAACGACGCGGCTGTCTTTCTTTTTCAGATCGCTGCCGAAACTCAGCAGCCAGGACGAGGATGGGCCGAACCCCCACACCCAATACACAGGCGTCACGCACTTCGAGCCCATACCGCACGATCATGACTTTTGCGAGAGGGTCGTCATCAACGTAAGCATACTTTTGTTCCTACTTGAAACGGGACTTTGGTCTCGTCGAATTCTTCGCGAATGTTACCGATCAACGCGCAAAAGTGTACGGCGTAAGGTTGATGTCGGCAAGTAGAAGTGATCAGTAATGGACAGACAACAAGGGTTGTCTGACCGTTACTGACCACTTCTACTTGCCTCGACACTGGCCGAGGCGAGCGTCGTCCCTTTCTGACCTCTCTCAAGCTGACAGGACCAAATCAGCAGAATCATATCGGACTCGGTGGAATATTTAGTACTTACTTTCTACTAATTTGTACCACCGAAAGAAATTTCGTACCTGTTACCGTTTTCAAGAAAATCGTAATATTAATATCACGTTTGCAGCGTCACATTTTTTTTCGTAAACGGTAACAGGTACAACATTACTTTCGGTGGTACAAATTAGTACGAATAGTACTAAATAAGTAAGTACTAAATATTCCACCGAGTCCGATACGATTCTGTTGATTTGGTCCTGCCAGTTTAAGAGAGGTATCCACGGAACTGTCGACGTCGCCGTCGAATATTTCGAGAAGCAACGCTCGTACGAACAACGTTACTTTCGTTACGTTTATCCTATACTTTCGTTACGTTTATTCTATACTTTCGTTACGTCACCACCTTAACGACAAGGTGCGAGCGAATGAATAAAAAGTACTTCGCGTTCCTTCCGTGACCGTATTCAAAGGGGAAAAAATTTCTAGCGCGGACGTTTCGTATCTCTTCCACTCGGAGCTCCATCGGGACGTCGAGATGATCCAAGTCGAAATTCAGCGCGTCGATGCCGTGCTGTATATTCCGTAGAAAAAAGGAAAACTACCGACCCGTGAATTTGACCGCGATTGTCCCGAACAACGGAGCGCGTACTTGTCGTTCGTCGCACCAGAAAAAAAGAAAATAAAAGGATCGAAATGAGAAAGAGGTGAGCGCACTCGCCTTCTCTCTCTCTCTCTCTCTCTCTCTCTCTCTCTCTCTCTCTCTCTCGAAACAAAAGAAAAAATGAATTTACTCCGTTTCCATGACGAACGACTCGATTAAGCTTGGGGATCCAGGTTCTGCGTTGTATCTCATTCATCATTTTTTTTTTTTCTTTTTCTCTTTTAGCGACGCGATCGAATACGAAGAGCTCCGAGAAGAAATTCTCTATCTTTCTCGAACGTCGTACGAAACGCTGCCCGTACTTGCAGACGCGGATGCATACTTTTTTCCGGACTCTATGCCATTCTTCTTCGTTTGTATTTCTTTCTTTCCGACGAAACAAGATTATCTCGAGACACGAAGCGACCTACAGAAGACCGTAACGTTGGCAAGCGTCCAAGTTCGTCTTGGAATCAGGGGCGATATAGTACCAAGGTCGTATTGTGTGAACGGAATTATCTGTCCTCGTGGATGACACAACTGCATTGCGCCAATTACAGTAACCATTCCGATCGAGATCTTTGAAAAATTCGCGGTACCAAATCCGTACCGAATTCCTCGAGTCCCTCGCGGTTTAAACCACGGTACGAACTTGGACGCACACCAGCCGACACCGACGATCGTTTATCCGTACTTTTTACGTAGTTTCGAACACTGAATTCAATGGCGGAAACAAAAAATGTGTTTTGGATTCAAAAAAAAGTTCAAACATTTTTCTGTGTACTACATCATTGAGCACAACGTTAAAAACCGAATAAAGGTACAAAATGTCAGAATTCTGTCCGACTAACTACCGGTAGCTAGTTTTTGTGGCGGCGCCCGTCCGTTAAGTGGCTAACCGGTTTTGCCGTGGTAGTAGGTTTAATTCTTTAATTATCCGAGCAAATCGAATTTCTGAACGACGAAGCCAACTCCCGCGGACGCGCGCCACTACGGTCGGTCGGTGTCGTCGATAAGCCGAGGCCCCGTCACGACAGTTATGACCGATACTTCTTCTTTTTCTTCTCAATCGTCCTAATGGTGGGACGCAATTACCCCAGTTTCGTTTATTAGTTTTCCGCTGCAGCGAAGAGGATCGAAAAGAAAGCCGTTCCTTACGAGCCAAAACAAATCACCGTCAACCGTGCTTTCCGTTTATTCCCGACGGTTGACGTTACGTCCAGGTGTAACGACCACGAACGACGCTCGTTAAATCGTCACGATCGCCAGCGATACACGACGACTGCTTTTGGAAAGCGTTTGCGATCGTTTCGCGGCGTTCGCGAATAACGAGTGTATTTTCCATTTGTCGCGTACGTATTACGTGTAAGATCGGAACGACCAGCTTTCCTGGTTGTGTCCACTCCCCTTTTTACTACGTACACGAGGTGTTGCTCAAAATTGATGTGAATATAGTTTGTTTACATTGTGCGTGGTGGCGGTGGTAAAACACAAGCCGTATCTCGCTCAAAGATGAGATCGCATTTTTTTGTTCCTATTTTGTAACATTTTCAGTAATACTTCATACTTAATTACTGCTGTCAATTTTTTAATCATGTAATCGCTTAGTATAACTTTCATTGGTAAGTATGCTTTTACTTTTAAACTTATTTGTTGTTCGTGGAAAAATTGATTTACTTCGGATGTGAATGTAGTCGAATTTTGTATTAAATCATCAGACTTCAATATAGTATTAATGAGATGTTCTAAAAAGCTTTTTTTTCTTAATTTCCCATCTTTCCCTTCATTTCCTGGGACATTTCCCATTAACTTCCCTTCATTTCCCTTTAATTTCCCTCCATTTCCTGGGACATTTCCCTTTAATTTCCCTCCATTTCCTGGGACATTTCCCTTTAATTTCCCTCCATTTCCTGGTATATTTCCCTTCGTTCCCTTACACAATTCCCTTCAATTTCCCTTAATTTCCTGGGACATTTCCCTTTAATTTCCCTCCATTACCTTACACATTTCCCTGTAATATTCCTCCATTTCCTGGTATATTTCCCATTAATTTCTCTTCATTTCCTTACACAATTCCCTTCAATTTCCCTTCATTTTCTGGTACAATTCCCCTCAATTTTCCTTCGTTTCCTGGGACGTTTCCCTTTAACTTCCCTTCATTCGCTGGTACAATTCCCTTCAATTTCCTGTGCAACCTCTTCGCATATCATGTCCTCCTGATACCAAAATGTAAAATCGAGAAGAATTCTGATACGTACCGAAAATTGGCCCCTCGAGTTAGGCAACCCATACTTACAGATATGTCGGGCCGGTTGCCTGCTCGTAGGCGCAAACGTGCCACCTCTTCGCATATCATGTTCTCCTGATACCAAAATTTCAAATTTGGCCAGAATTTGATACTTACTGAATTGTCACTTTGTTGAAGTTTTGAGCGGAGCAAAGTTGACGAGAGGTGTCAGGAGGTGATAGGAGATGTCGAGAA